AGTTTAAAAAAAAATGCGGTATGGGGGGGGGTGTTCGGGGTGGGGATGGGGGGTGCGTGGGGTGGAGGGGTGAGGGTAGGGAAGGTTGAGAAGAAGTTTTGGAAAATGTTTTCCCTTCTCTTTATAAGGAAAACATGAAAATGAGTTAATAAGGAAAATGTTTTCCAAAATATTTAAGCCAATTAAATATGAGAAAATTAAAAAACATTTTCCGGAAAATATTTTCCTTCGTACCAAACACACCCTAAAAGTTGGTCAAGACGTATTTCGTTACTAACTTGTATGGAATAATATAAGTAACTTTCCATTACAACTGAATATTTTTATTTTTACTGCTGCAGATAGGAATTATTTGTATCACGATACCAGTGCATATGTCATCAATTAATATTGTGTCTAATTAAACATTTGAAATTTACTAAACAGATTATTATATTGTACAATAAGTATAATATTTTAACTTTTAAAAGATCGGGACTATTGGGACTAAAGCAAAGCAATAAAAGTATTTTACTTAGTAGTGACGACAGTGGGGAATATATATCCAAAATTCTCATAATAAGAAAGCAAAGAAAGAAAACGATAAAAAGGTCGGAAATGGAAAGAGAGCTGCATTTTCAGAAATTGAGAGCTGCTTTATCGCTGACCTTTGACCTTAGCCCACCTATACGGCTATGAGCCCGTTTAGATGGGCTTGTTGTAAGTGACTTTTAAGTCCAAAGTCACAAGTTAGAAATTCGCTTTTGGCTTTTGGCTTATTTTTTGACATTTTAGTTAAAAATAAGTGTTTAAAAGCATTTTTTACTTTATCCAAACACTACAAAATAGTTTAAAAATTATTTTGGCTTAAAAGCACTTAAAATAAATTAATACAAACGGGTTCTATATCCATTTTTTTCTCTCAGAGCCACCTATGCATATTTTCTGACTATTAATACTTGAAAATTTCGGATTCAATTAATATATTTTTAACGACGTAGAGCTTATTAAATGGGAGGCACTTTATGTTAAGAATTTTTTATTCTGGTAACCAAAGGTCTCGAACTCAAACCCTTACATAGCAAATGTAACTTTATGGTGATAATTTTATCCGATATTAATATTTTTATGTAATCTATAAATATTTTTGATAAATATAAACTTAAAAATGTTAAAAGTAAAACGATTTCAGTATTGTGAACTTGAAAATATCGAATCTATCAGATTTAGATTCTAGATTCAACTCTATACATTTACGAGCTGAAGAAAATAGGTAGTCTCTTTTTTGCCTTTTATGAACAATTGCACATAACCTAAGTTTGTTAAATTTTTTATTCACCAAAAAAAATAGGTACTGACCGGGGAATATTGTTCTACGACAGCCACCTAAGCACATACAAGCGAAGCGAGGACTAATTTTTTTAAAATAAAAAAGACGAGAAAATAAAGAAAAAAGAAAAAAGAGAAAAAGGAAAAAGAAAAGTGAGGTGGGTGGGGCGTGGGGAAGAATAACGCGATCTAAACCGAAGAATATTAGTCTATATAGTACTTATACTATTATTAAGAGCCGTAAGAGCCTCCTCCATTTTGGTTGAATTGTTGTGTGTCCAATTCCACATTCCAAAAGCCACAATTAAAAGAAGAAAAGATTTTCGATTTGGAGGTTTGGAACCATTATCATGACTTACGCTACTCACGTCCTTCGTCACTCCAAAAAGGTTTGATTCTGATATCCAGTTTTTTTTTATCTATTCAATTTTTCAATATTGACTTGTATTCTTGTATACCTAAAATCTGCGCGTATAGGTTAATTTGTTGAAGGAAGAATTTGATTGTCAATTATGTAATATCTGTGATCCATATGAGCCCGTGGTTGTGCCGCATTTCTATGTCAATATTAAAAAGTATATGTATTTCTTTTTGACGTTTTTCTTCATTGCGGCTGACTTGTGATTGCCCGTGTTTTATTTTGTATGAGATTTTGGAATTGGAGTTAGGAGCTATGCTTGCAGTTGAGTTATAAATTAGTTTATGACTTTTGGGCTTAATTTTTATGAATTTGGAGCTTTGCTATTTATATTGATATTAGGTTGAATGAGGCACATTTTCTCATTGGCGATTAGATAGTCGGAAGCTGGTTCAATGCTCACACCTAAATGAAATAACTCATAGACATGAAGTGGGACATGAAAATTCTTTATATTTTGCCGATAGCAGTTTTAGACTTTAGGCATCTTGCTTGTTGGTTGATACTTGTCGTATGGTGATATCAGCATGAACCTCATGCAATTAGTCTAACCATTTTGATCCTAGAAATATACTTGCTATCTGTATCTAGTTATTTTTCGCCTTCCCTTTCTCTGTAAAAAGTCTTACCTTCTTCGTGCTATCTTCCACAACATAAGTACTTGGCAACTCTGACCACCAAGGCTTAGGCACATGGGGAAAAAATCACCTAGTGTTTTTTGTGTCCGCTGAGATTTGAACCTGAGGCCTCATGATTCTCCTCCCACTACATTGACCACTAGACGGCACCTCTTTCGCAGTGTTAAGAAAGGAGAAAGAAAATAAAGGGACTACTTTAAAGTATATACTGGTGATGCATAATGTAGTTTGTCTTTTTAAATGGCATCGCCTAATCTATGTAATTTATCTGCTCCTGCCCTTGGAACATCCAACTGTGTGTTCAATTATTCCAGAACCTGTTAATCTCATTTTGTTTCTGTTTCTGTTGCTTTCAAATTATTTGCAGATCAGAAGTTCTTCGAACTTATTACGGCATGACTCTGCTATTCTTGTCCGCTGGTTCAGTAATGGCACGAGGTCTTCTTTGGATAAGGGAGATGGTAAATTAGTATCTTTACTTACTGATGTTTATGAATTATCCGAATTATCATATGTTTGTCATTGTGTCCAATTGCTTAACAACGAATATTACAATGTCTGATCATGTCCGTGAAGAATATCTTATGGTCATTCTTTTCTTGTTATTGCGACTAACCGTCTTGATGATCTCTTCTCGGTGATGTTTTATTTTTCTCTGTGAAAGTATGATTCAAACATTTTGTGGCTTTTACAGATATTTTAAGGTGCTAATTTGGTTTTGTATCTGTAGGGAGACACAGCATTTCCAAGTCCTTTAGTGGATGCAACTCAGGTTCAGCAGTCTCCAACAACCGTTGTAGATCAGTGTCACCCACGGTTGTGACCAGACCTTTATTTCGGTTACCCTCCTTTTATAGTTTGCTTTTTCCTGTTGAATCTGAGCAGCAATGTTTACATCAAGATCATGTTTCTGACTGTAGGTGTCATTTGTGGCAACATATAATGGAAATGTTTTGAGAAATGCAATTGATCCATGCGCCTCCATGGCTAACATGCCTTTCATGAGAGGGTCTTCTGGGTTTGTTCTCTGTCTTATTTCTTCTAATATTTTTAAAAATACGTTTTGATCATTCTCTTCAAGCAAATTCTGTTTTTTTTTTTTTTTTTTTTTTTTTTTTTTTTTTTTTTTTTGTGTCAGATCACAAGTGCCTTCAAGGAGGTCTTTCTCTACTGCTTCAGGTACTTGTCTTTTAATATCACTTTGGCCTTTGGCTATTCAATCAGAAATTTTGTTCTCAGGGCATCCTCCAGAATGCTTATAAACCTAGTTTTATTTTATGGGCATTTATCTACTCACTGTAAGTTTAGTTCCTATTTATCAGTTAAGATTCACGGGAGGACAATTTCATGTCAATGCTCTCTAATCGAGTCATTTGCATTGACGTTTTGCCTATCTTTTACTTTAGTTCTATTTGTGTCTATTTTTCCAACTGATTGCTAGAGAGATCCTTCTTACTTTGTAGCTTTAATTATGAAACACGGAACCACAGCGGGAGAACCCCCACACCTTTAATTTCTCATCTTTAGTCAGAGCTTTAATTTCTGTTTTCAGATCTTCCTCCACACCAAGAGATTGGGATGCCATCTCTTTCACCTACAATGACAGAGGTATAATGGCTTCTCTCATTAAAGCTTTTCAGAGCATCATTAGTCGTTCTGCACTTTTGGTTGTCTTAGCGCCTCAGCGGCTCCTCATACTTTTGTGCAGGGAAATATTGCTCGATGGTTAAAGAAAGAGGGTGACAAAGTTTCTCCTGGTGAAGTGCTATGTGAAGTGGAAACAGTAGGATCACTTTTTAGGTGCTATTATGATGATGTTGTTGAGGGACTTTTTTCCTTTATGTGCCGTGACTTCTGGATTCTGGTATTTATGATACTCATTCGATCCCCTTAGGATAAAGCAACTGTCGAAATGGAGTGCATGGAAGAGGGATATCTAGCTAAGATTCTTCGCGGAGACGGGGCAAGCAGTATCAAAGTTGGAGAGGTATAGATGCCTAATCTAATTGATTGAGAGTACCAATTAAGTGTGTTGTATCTTGGTGTTAGACAACTTAGACTCTAAGCCATGTGGTATAAGGGACTCACTATTATCTCCATTGTTAAATTTTTCACTCGTTTGTCCAGGATTTTCACTGTGTGGAATGTTATGCACTTGTACAGATCTGCATCTACGTAATTGATGCATCACACAGTACATTCCACGATAAAAGCTAATGCCTGGACCTCCTAGTTCCTATTTGACTTGTATCTTTGTCGGTACTTTGTTTCTAAGCTGGCGCTTTGCTGAACCTTTCATATTTTTAGCTAATAGCCACATAGAGAACCTGACAATTCCCTTATTTTATGATGTAATGCATCAGCTCATTCAAATTTACTCCTAATATCACATAGTTGACCCAACTGAATTTTCCTTCCTTTTTGAATTTTACTGCCTTGAGCTACATGCCAAGCATAGCCAGATCATTGTGGGAACTAATCAATTAAAAAAATCCTTGATGAATATTGGTAATTCTGTAGGTGATTGCTATTACCGTTGAAGAGGAAGATGACATTGCAAAGTTTAAAGATTACCAACCTTCAGCATCAGATGCTACGCCTTCACCAAAAGCATCTCCTCCTCCACCTCCACCCAAAGAAGAGGTTGCCAAGAAACCTGTCACCCCATCAGAGCCAAACGCTTCTAAACCTAGTGCGCCTGCAGATCGCATTTTTGCTAGTCCGCTGGCTAGGAAACTAGCGGAAGATCACAATGTACTTATTTTCTCCAATTAAGCTTGTTTTGAAATATGATTCAGGTCGGCATGTTTTAGCCATGAGGTTAATTCTCCATTTGTCTGAACATGAGCAGATACATCTAACAAACATCAAAGGAACAGGTCCGGAGGGACGTATTGTGAAAGCTGATATTGAAGATTATCTTGGTAACCTTTTTCCTATTCTGCATATATACTTATATGCTAGCTGATGTCACTATTGGTTTTATGTCACTGAATTTATTTCCTTTTTCTCTTATGGGAGGAAAGATTTCCCTTTGGAAATTTATGTAATTTAGAAGAATCAATAATCTTTTCTTTGATAATGTAGCTTCTCATGGAAGCGAAGCCCCTGCAGCAGCTCCCAAGGCTGATGCAGCTCTTGAATACACGGATATTCCAGTTTCACAGATAAGAAAGGTACTATTTACCCCTTTGCGGGATGCATCATCGTATTCCCAGAATTAGCGAACTTTAGTGCTTGTCCCGTGTTATCTACCATTCATCTCTTGTATTAAGTTTAGATATACTTTTTGTCTAACCATTTCTTTTACAAGCACAAGGTTTTGTCCTAGTTATACCAGTTTGGTGTAATCTGTGCAGGTGACCGCTTCTCGATTGCTGCTGTCAAAGCAAACCATTCCCCATTACTATTTGACTGTTGATACATGTGTCGACAAACTTATGGAGTGAGTATTACTTTCATTTCACAACAGCAGAATTCAACTTTTTCTGATGTTTATCATGCCCACTGCTCGGTCTGCAGATTGAGGAGCCAGCTCAATTCATTGCAAGAGGCTTCAGGAGGAAAGAAGTTATCTGTTAATGATCTTGTAATAAAGGTATGAAATACTCCTTTAAGATCCACTACGCCACCCAACAAGGAAAAAGGAAAAAGAAACCTATGGTCTTGTTATCTCGTCTCTATCCTTCTATCTGTAATCGTGAAGGGTCCAGAAAAGAGAGAAAAAGTGATTATGCATGGACCTCTATGTCGAATTGGAGCCAGAATCTCGTATTTGTCATAAGAAATCTGAATAACTCCTAACTGGTTTCCTTATTTACTGCACCTTGTCAACAAATAAAAGGTTACTTCTGTGTCCCATTATGTATGATGTTAGAACTATTTGGGAAATCAAACAATTTTTCCTTTGGCTACATTTTTCTGGACAATAATACATTTAACTATAACCAGTTGTAACTTTCACTTCATAAAAAAAAAAGTTGTGATTTTCTTTTTTTATAGGCAAAGAATTTTTAACTTTCAGTAATACTTTTAATATAACTTCTAAATATACAAATTTTAATTATGTTGAAGAATCAGTGTCCAAATTTATACTGACAATTAGGTCTTTTGACTTTGGGAATGGAAATACATAGTATGGGGTTGGGGTGTATAGAAGATATTGACATCAGTTATCAGAGAGAGAGAGAGATGACCTGGGTAACTTCATTGCAGGCTGCTGCTTTGGCTCTTCGAAAAGTTCCTCAGTGCAACAGTTCATGGGCCAATGACTACATTCGCCAGTAAGTGGAGTATATGAAGTGAGAGGACCTCTATAGTTGAAACTTGGAGTGGACATTAATAGTGCATTCTTTCTTTCAAACATAGGTATCACAACATAAATATCAATGTCGCGGTGCAGACTGATAATGGACTGTACGTTCCTGTCGTCAGGGTTTGTTCTCAATTCTCATCCCCATCTAGTGCTTATAATAATTGGATATTTCTTGATTCCTACTACCAGTTATATCTCGTCTTGGAAAATCTGTGTTGTTGGCAGGATGCTGATAAGAAAGGTTTATCCACTATTGCCGAGGAAGTGAAGAACTTAGCCCAGAAAGCAAAAGATAACAGCTTAAAACCACAGGATTATGAGGTGTGCATTGCAATTGTTAAGCCTCCTTCTGCATAGATAGAGAAAAGTATATATTATTCAACCACTTTTTTTTTTCTGCAGGGAGGGACGTTCACTGTCAGCAATTTGGGAGGGCCTTTTGGCATTAAGCAATTTTGTGCCATCATAAACCCTCCTCAATCGGCTATTCTCGCTGTTGGATCTGGTAAGTTTGCATCTCAGTGGAAGAATATATTTTAGCTGTGATATGTTGTGCTCATCGTTGTTTCTTAAATAGCTGAGAGAAGGGTGATACCTGGTACGGGCCAAGACCAGTATAAGTTTTCCAGTATGATGCCTGTAACGTTGAGCTGTGATCACCGGGTGATTGATGGTAAGTGGCTTGACTGCCTATTTAGATAGTTTAGTCCTCATATCTCCCTCTTTAGGAATCATGGTTAAACCTTTAATAATTTTAATTGATACCTTTGTCCAGGCGCAGTTGGTGCAGAATGGCTCAAAGCATTCAAAGGCTACATAGAGAGTCCGGAGTCTATGTTACTGTAGATTGATACATCCTTTTCTTGTCTTTTGAATTCTTCACGTTTTCCTCAACAAGTCGGGTGAAATTTTGCTGTATGATAACTGGTATTTTATGTGCCATGGCCTGATATTATTGCTTGATATAAGCATCTTTACTAGGGAAAACGGCTAAAAGACTTGAGAATAATGAGGCTGCAAGGCCATGTACCGTTGATTTAGGCTTTCCCTCTCACAGAGTGTATAAACAAGTTTTTGCTCGAGGTCATTGAGTTGATTATGTGTCTGAAATAAGTGGAATGCTAGCTGGAAATTCATTATTTTAAATAAGATTCACTGAACTGTTAAGGCAGAGATTGCTTCAACACGAGGCTGTTGCTTGAATCCGTGGTTGTCTTCTTGATTAACATATGCCAGTCCTGACTGTTTCTTTCGATATTGTCTTTCCTCATAGCCAAGCTAAAGTTGCGCAGTGATCGCATTGAACCTTGTGGGCAATTGCCGTACAGGTAGTTTGGAAGAAATTTTGGGGTATAAGATGGTAAGAGCACATTGGAGTAATATATAATGTGGTTAGAACTTATAATTTGGTACGATTCACAAGATCCTCGTTAAACTAATCTGAGTAGGGTTGGCAAACTGGCGGGTCGGCTCACATAAGAGTGGGTTGAACACGGATAATACAAAAGTGGATAATTAATATGGGTAACCTAACCATCTTATCTATGACTCTTTGAATACCATCACTTTTGTGAAAATTTCTAGTCTCCCAAGCTTAAGGAATCCCTAATTTGAGGCTTTATAAATGTAGAAGTTAAACCATTAATTATCCATTTTCTATGGCTTGTTTGGTATAGAGCCGTCAAAATGGGCTTGGCCCGTGAGGCCAGCCCAACCCAGCCCGCTACTTGGGTAGGGTTGGGCTATGATTTTTTGAGCCCATTTAAAACTGAGGCTTATAAGCCCGACCCACGTCAGCCCGCTAGCCCTTGAGGCTTGATCGAGGCTGCGCTTAGGCCGGCCCATGGGCCAGAAATTAATTAAATTCAAATTAATTAACTATTAAATATTTAAATAAAGTAAAAACTAAAAAAACTATTAACTATAATCTCCATTCTCTAACCCTAGATTGCTCATTTACCCTTCCATATCAACTAGAATTTAGATTTTTGACATGTATGTAATATGACAAAATTAGTTTTTCTTTTGCTTAATTAATAACGAACCCAAAAAGTTTTAGGTGGTCAATAATAATATTTTTTCAAAAAAAAATATTACTTTGAGCGGCCAATGATCAATTTGGAATACTTTAATATATTATTAATATTTAAACTGCTCTTCAGTATATAAAAAAATTAATTTTAAATATATATAAAAAAAATTGACCACTAGCAAATTTCAAGAATTTTAAAAATTTTATGGATTATAATGATGAAATCGGCAAATGATGTTAATCCTAAATTAGAAAACCTCAGCATATAAACTTGTTAGAAGCAATCTCTGAATTTGAGAAAAATGAAAGAAAAGAATTAAGAAAATATTCATGTAACTTTAAAAAGAAGAGCTAGAGATATAGAGAATTTACATTTCAATTACGAGATTCCTCGTCAAATATTAAGATTTTTGTACGCTCAAAGCAAACAAAAGTTGTTTATATGATTAATCGACTACGTCATGAAAAAATATTTAAGGATTTAAAGAAATTCTTTTTTTGTAAAAAAATTGAAGGGCGGGCCCGCCCCAGCCCGCGGCACTCTTAGGGCTGGGTTGGGCTTGCCAATTTAAGGCCCATTCATATGGCGGGCCAGCTCTTCCTAGCCCACTAAATTTAAAAGCCCACAAGGCTTGGGCTAGGCTGGGCTGGGCTGGCCCGTGTTGACAGCTCTAGTTTGGTACGAGGGATAAGGGATAATTAATTTCGGGATTTTAAGATGAGTTTATTCCACGTTTGGTTGGGATAATCGTGGTATAATTAATCCCGAGATTAGTTATTCTAAGATTGTAGTGTTTTTTTATTCCAATGGGAGGGTGAGATAACTAATCTCGGGATAACTAATCCCGAAATAATTAATCATGGAATAACTTGTTTCCCAACCAAATGACCCCTAAGTGGATTCATATGGTTCTTATCCATATTTGACTCGTTTTCATTATCCAATCCATTTTTTATTGGCTAATATGGATGGGAATAATTATTTTTTTTGTCCCCACTAAATCAGCAAAACCAAGAACATTGATGGAAAAATCAGGTAAAGAGAGCAAACACTTCTCCTGCGACCCATTCCACTTGATTCTAAGATGTACTTCAACTGCTTCAACTAAACACGTGTTAGCAATTATTATCAGTGCTGCAGATGCTTTAAATAAGCTGGACAAAGAGTCGTCATTTCACAAGATCGTATGGACTCTTGGGCCAAATTCCAACACCCATATAACGTCAGTTCCCAAGAGCTTGTGTAAAAAATTATTACTCCCTTCGTTTCAAATTAATAGCCTTTTTGGCCAAAAGTACTTTTGGCCAAAAATTGAGGTGTTTGGCCAAGCTTTTGTAAGGAAAAAAAGTGCTTTTGAGGAAAAGCAGAAGCAGTTTTGGAGAAGCAGAAAAAAGTAGTTTCTCCCCAAAAGCACTTTTGAGAAAAATACACTTAGAAGCAGTTTTTTAAAGCTTGGCCAAACACTAATTGCTGCTCAGAAGTGCTTTTCAAACTAATCAGCCAAACACAAACTGCTTCTCACCAAAAGTACTTTTGAGAAAAGCACTTTTTAAAAAAAGCACTTCTCAAAATAAGCTGATTTTTGCAGCTTGGCCAAACGGGCTATAAGTGAGGTAATTTAATTCGGCATGGAGTTTAAGGAAAAAAGAAAAGACTTTTGAAATTTGTGGTCTTAAAAGCTTAAGGGGTAAAACTTCGTGGGACAATGACTTTTGTGTGGTTATAAAAGCTTCTCATTAAGGGTAAAATGGGTAAAATGAGGAGTTTAAAGTTGAATTATTTCCAAAATTTAGAAATGTGTCATTTATTTTGGAACAGACTAAAAAGGAAAGTACCTCATTTAATATGAAACGGAGGGAGTATCTAGTATTTTCTAATCGATTAGAAGTCATTTATATTGGAAGTAAGGGTGGTGATGATAGGCTACAATTGCGTATTTTAGTCGCTTATTACACTATAATTTACTGCACTTTAATTGAGTTTGAGCTTTAATCGCTAGTGTTTGCACTAAATTATGTATTTTATGCCTTGTAGGAGGGATTCGAGCTATGTAGATATTATGGAATGAATTCAAGTAATTTGGAGCTTTGAAATCTAAGTAAAAGCTCAAGGAATCAAGCCGGGATCGTGTTCAGGGATCAACGGATGATAGTGAAGAACGAGACGGAGAATCGAGCAGGCATACAATGCAGTGTCTAGTAAAAAGCACATAACTTTTCGCTCAGAACTCCGTTTGGGCTCCACAATATATCGTTGGAAAGCTATTTGAAAGGTCTACAACTTTCATGTTTTGGATTTTTGCGAATTTCCAATACCGCGCCGCATCTGTGCAATTTTCCAATAGTCTGTTAGAAAATAGCTCTCTGAACTTCCCCACTGCCGCGCCGCACGGTGCGCCGCAGGGTGCGGTGCGCCTGTGAAAATTTTACAGAGCCACAGTCCTATTTCGCGCAGGAAAAGGTATTTTATCTGGGCCCGACCCTACTTGGTATAAATACATGTATAAACGCTATTTTGAGAGGAGGAGGACATACTTTTGACATAATTTAGACCTACGGGCCGCCGTGGAGGCCGGAGATTCGGCCTAAGGAGGCAAGAACACACTAGGAGCAAGGCGGAGAATTCTTCTACGAGTTTTTCACTTCCTTCTTCCTATTTCCATTATTGGTTATGAATTCTAGTATTGTAGTTATGCATACTATTATGTATAGCTAATTTGTTATCTAGGGTTTTGATGGAACCTATTGGAGGATGATTTCATGTTACGTTAATATAGATTTGCTGTAGTATTTTCTCTATTTGTTCCAACTACGTTATTATTGTGGTTTGTTGAAGAGCTCTCAATCGACTGTGCCTATTTAGTATGTATTACTCGGGAGAGAGTGCATATTTAGGTAGTTGTTGAACAACATCACTCCTAACGTATATGAGGGATCAATACGAAGGGTTTAAAGGTGGGATTAGGAATAACGAAACCTTGGGTTCGATCCGTGTGAGCTGTACTTAATGCCAGCTAGCGTTATTCGGGAGAATATGTCTAGTAAATTGTGGTAATTACTCGGGAGAGAGATACAACAGTCAGAGCGCTCATGATCGGTAGAGAATACTTAGGCGAATTTATAGAAAACGTAGCGGGAAGGATTCCAACAATAGGGGAAATCATAACTCTAGACCTCCTAAATCTTGTCTCTAACCCTTAGTATCTTTAGTTGTTAATTTACTATTTTAATTTATTAGTTAATTAGTTAAACACGAGAATCTTAATATTTATAAGTTAGGAATTGTTCAAGCTTGTCTTCTTGGTGATATTGAACAGTTGTAACTAAGCCTTAGTTCTCTATGGGATTCGACTCCAGACTTGTAAACCGGATTATATTTGCAACGACCGCTTAGTCCTTTTTATAAGACATAGTTGGGCATGATCAGGTTTTCATAAAAACCCGTAAATTCGAACCAAACCGAAAACCAAACCAGACCGACCAAAAAAGCCGATACTTTTTGGTTTGGTTTGGTTTTGGTTTTGAATTTTAAAAACCGATAAAATTGGTTTTGTTTTGGTTTTAATCAGAAAAAACTGGAAAAAAAACAAACCAAACCGACTATAGGAGTAGCTATTTCAAATTTATTATTACACTTATATATATGTATATTTTTATACAAAGTTACAAAAATTTAATGGTAAATGTTAATAGTTTGCACTTTTAGTATAGTTCTTTACCTTTACATTTTAGTTTGATTGGTTATTTTTTTTGTTAAGTGAAAGAATCCATTTCGTGTTAAAAATAATATATTTTTAATTGAGTCCTAAATTATTCGTCACTATTTGATTCAATTATCATCAATATATCTTGGTAATAATAGATTTCTCAAAGGGCAGTTGATTTGATAATGTTATGTTGAAAATGTGGTCGCCGGAATATGTGTTTGATAGTGTATGTCTTATATTTAAGAAAAAATCGACAAATAACCGAAAAATTGAAAAACTGACAAAACCCGACATAAACCGAATCGAGAAAAAACAGACTTAAATGGTTTGGTTTGGTTCTAATATTTGAAAAATTGACTTACTTGGTTTGGTATTTTTAGCAAAAAACAGATCCAAACCGAACCATGAACACCCCTAATTGGAAGTTAGAACCACTGAATTCGTA